TGGAACGTGTCTGCATCGAATAAGTATTGGAGACTACTGGCAGCGAAGGGTGCGAATCAGACGGCAAGGAAGAGATAGGAGCTGGAAGGGATGTCGTGTTGGTTGGAATGATGGAAGAAAGGTCCGGTGAGGGAATGGTAGGGGAAGAACTTGACTGTAGAGGAATGTGGGTTGTAGTAGGGCCGTTGGTGACATCGGAATTAGGGGAACAAGTGGTCGTCTGTGTGGGTAGGTCAGTGGGAAAGCTCATTGGTGAATCATGCACGATTGGTTGCTGGCAAAGACTGAGGGGTTAGAAGGAAAATGCTGGATTGGTGATGATGTTGGAGGAATTAGGATGTGAGGGAGAGATGAAGGTATGGGTTGAGGAGGTTTAGAGATCTGAGGGGAAGATGGTTCAGTAAAGGGGAAGTAGGTTTCGTAAAAAATTACATGAGGACTCACAAAGAATTTGTCCGAACATGGGTCAAAGCAAATGTATCCTTTTGTCCCGAGAGGGTATCTAAGGAAAACACATCGACTTGTGCGAGGATGTAAATTATTTTTTGGAATAGGGACGAAGTAAGGGATAACAGACACAATCAAATACTTTGAGGTGCGTATAATCAGGTGGGGAAGAAAAGAGACGCCGTTCAAAGAGGGAAACATTATCAAGGGAAGGAGAGGGAAGACAATTAATGAGAAATACAATAGTGGCAAAGGCATGATACCAAAAATGTAAGGGTACAGAAGAACGAGAAATAAGTGACAATGCAGTTTCTATAATGTGTTTATGTTTGCGTTCAACAATACTATTTTGTTATGGGGTATAAAGGCAAGAAACATGATGAGAAATGTCATGTGAATCAAGTAAGGAACGCATAGAAGAATTGATAAACTCACCACCACCATCACTTCAAAATATTTTCATGCGATAGTTCAACATGTTTTCAACATAGGGTTTAAATTTAGAAAAGACAGAGAAAACGTCAGATTTTTGAACCAAGGGAAAAATCTAAGTATAACAAGAATAGTCATCAACAAATGACACATAGTATTTAAATCCATTAAAAGATATTGTAGACACCGTATTTGGTCCGGCTCGCTTTCGTTTTTTTTTTAAAAATTTTATTACTAATTTATTTATTATTATTATTATTTTTTTTATGTTTATTGATTTAGTTTAAAATAACATAATTTACTTTCTTATAAAATTTAATGTAAAGTTTTAATTGAATCAAATTAAGTTTTAAAATTAGATTTTATTTGAAAATAATTGGTTTTTTTTAATTAATTTTAAGATAAAAAAAAACAGTTCTCCCTTTGATTTTTTCCTTCATACGTGTATCTCCTCCCCTTCTTCTCCTCCCTCTTTTTCTCTCTTCTCTTCCCTTTTTCTTTTTTATCGTTAGTTTTAGGTGTATTTAAGGAGCTGCAGTGGGTAGGAAAGACAGACAGAACCCATACAGAGAAGAATTCACTTCCTTCTTTCTCTCTACCATCACCTTCTCTTCCTCTTCACCCAGGCCGGCAACCCCGACGATACACAGACTACACACGTCCCCCGGTGATCACAAGTTCAGACCAACCTGCACAACAGTAGTCCAGCGCAAAGTTCTACAACAGACGCACGGATCACCGACCGCCTGAATCCGACCTCGAGTGCTCCTTCACGGTTTCAGACCCGCGGGCACACCCAGAATTTCCTCACTGCAGTACGTGGTATAGAAAATGGTTGTTTTAGAAATGATTTGATTTTTTTTATTTGTTTTAAATAAGCTTGTTTTAAATTTGATATATATATATATATATTTTAAATTAAATTTGTTTAAATATGATTTGGTATATTTTAAAATAGATTTGTTTAAATATGATTTGATATATTTTAAAATAGATTTGTTTAAATATGATTTGATATATTTTAAAATAGATTTGTTTAAATATGATTTGATTATTTTTAAAATAAGTTTGTTTTAAATATGATTTGATTATTTTTAAAATAAGTTTGTTTTAAATATGATTTGATTATTTTTAAAATAAGTTTGTTTTAAATTTGATTTGATTATTTTTTTTAAAATAAGAAATATGATTTGATTATTTTTAAAATAAGAAATATCATTTGATTATTTTTAAAATAAATTTGTTTTAAATATGATTTGATTATTTTTAAAATAAGTTTGTTTTAAATATAATTTTTTTTTAAATTTTAAAAACAAGTTTGTTTTAAATGTTTTTTTTTGTTTTAAGGAAGTTTGTTAGAGGAATTTCAAATCTAAAATAAAATAAAATATTTTTATTTTATTATTATTATTATTATTATTATTTCTCGTTTTAGTTTTAATTTTTTTAGTTTTAATTTTTTTAACATTTTTTTTAAATAAAGATTTGTATGATAAGAATTAATATTAAGTTGTATCATATGGTATTGGCATACTGGTAGGTTACTTAGGAGTTAGGTTTGAGTCTTTACTTGCCTAAATTAATATTTTTATTTATATCATTATTTTACCAAACAACTATTTTAGATAAAATGTTTTTTTTAATTTAAAAAAAAACTTTCGTTTTTATAAGATTTCAAATCTTAAAACATTTATATAAAATATTAAGTAATAT